GAACTCGGGTCCTTGCGCTTGTGCAGCAGGCGGCGAAACCACTGAGCTAAATCCCTGGCCCACATGTGACTTTTTAAAAGAATCTCTATTGTATGAGGTATTTAAGCCTGTCTTCATTTCTTTTTATAGCAAAAGGTATATTTTTACCATTCAAGTGAATTGATGCAACAGGTGAATCAAGATATCAATATTATCAGTTGTAGCTGTGCTTTATGTAGGTTCATATTCCTTTTTGTAGTGAAAATGAAGCTTACTCAGTTGATGGTTTGCCTCAGGACCCATAGGCTGTGAGATGGTAACCCTATGTCCAAGATGGGCAAAGGGTATGGGCCAAGATTTTCCAACTGTGTCTCTTTTTCTCCACGTTCCTCCTCCCTCCAAGAAAGCATTTCTAGGAAACAGAATGGAGACAGACTATACAAGGAGGCACAGACAGAGAAAAAGAAGCAAGGGAGAAATTAAGTTTGTAGAGTTACATGCTCTCTTCAAACTCTTGTATATCACCCTAAAATAAAGGGAGACTCACTCTTATTCCTCCTCATGCCTTGGCTCTGGGGAAATCTTTCAGATAGCATTCAGGGCAAGGGAAACAGCTAGGCCTGGAAGCATCAGCTTCCTGTTCTTTCTGTATTCTCAATTTTAGCATTGAAGGGAAATACTGATGTCCTTTTTTTTGGTACTGGGGATTGAACTCAGGACCTTGCACTTGTGAGACAGGTGGCGGCACCACTGCTGATGTCCTTTTACTGATACTTTTTCAACAGAACAAAACAAAATGCTTTCTAGCTTATCAAAGTCATTTCCTCTACTGCCAAGATAAAGGAGAGAAGCTCTTTTTATTATATTCAGAAGTGGTCACATACGACTTGGCATAGGGCTTTAATTGTACAATATTGATTGATTGGCTTTTGATTTCTATGATTTCATTTAGTTCTAAACTCCATGAAGCAGCTTCTATGATTCCTGTGAGATTCAAGGAAGTTAAGTACTTAGCCAAGGTCCTGTAAATGTTAAATGAAATAGACAGAACTAAATTTAGGCCGCCTGTCTGTTGAAATTGTACTAGCTGCTAACTCCTAGGGAAATACTTTGGGTAAACTCTTAGTGTTTCCTGTAGTTGTTCTCCTCAGGCTCTTGAATGCTTTGGACAAAGATCCTAGTGGCAGAAGCCAGTTCTTTCTCTAGGATTCTCTATTGCACTTGTGGTGACAGAGGCAATATACCAGCCTGGTGACATTCTGTACAGTTATCATAGATGGTGGCAACACTCCAGGGCTTTGGAAAATATATTTTCAAAAGTTTTCAAAAATATTTTTTCAATAAGTTTTCAAAAGTGTGTATGTTTTGTTTTGCTTCCAGTGCTGGGTATTGAACCCAAGGTCTTTGCACTGAACTACATCCACAGCCTGTTTTATATTTTTATTTTGAGGGTCCCACTAAGTCACTAAATTGCCCAGGCTAGGCTTGAACCTGCAAACCTCTTGCTTCAGTCTCCCAAAGTGCTGAGATTACAGGTGTATACTACTATGCCCAGCTTTAAATATGCATTTTTATTTTTTGAATAATAGATGTACTCCAAACAGAACCCCTTTCTGTTTTGTGTTCCTTCCTAAGGCTATTGCAAATACTGCAGTGATCCCATCTGTCCCCAATATCCAGAAGTCTCTTTCCTGGACTGTAAACAGGGATTCAGCTCAAGGTATTACTTTCATGTCAATAACCGTGAAAACTTGGTGCCGTATGACTTGAACTGCTATGAGAGTATTGAGATATCATTCTCTTTCAAGTTATTTCTTTTTCAGTACTGTTCATCTTTGGTTGTAGAGGGAAATGAAATTCAAGGTAATCTAAAATAACCAAATTCAGTCTCATGTTTGAGATAAGATTGGCTCCAGTAGAACATATGCTATTTATGAAGATTCAAATTCTTCTTAGACCAGAATAGATGGAAGACTTTCAGTGATGAAATGGCCCAAAATTATATCTTTTAAGTATGGCAAGTTGGGACAGGATACTGCAATGTCATTTACTATCTGGGTAGCCCTGCACATATCATTTAATCTTTCTTAGCTTCAGTTTTATTGCCTGGAAGATGAGTTGAAGTTTAGAAATAATGTATATAATAAATCTAGCAATACATAACACCTACTAAATGCTGAATAAATGTTAGTGATCACTTATTAATTACAAAGAAATATGGAAAAATATGAAAATACTCTAGAGAATTTGAAGGGTACTAATTACAAGGCCAAATTTAGTCTGACCCCAAGGGAAAGATAGCATTTAACCCTAGATTGCCACCTACTGGTCCACAGTAGATTTAAAGAAATTACCAGGAAGTTCCAATTTCTGACTAAGGGAAAATAGTGGTAGAAGTTTAGCTTAACTCAGCCAAATGATTAGGGCATGCATTTTCCCAAGCAAACCTCAACATCAGAACCCTTACATGTAAGAGCCACAGCAATATTTTTGATAATGTTGGCAAGCAGAGATGGTTTTGTTAGGCATAATAGTAAATAATCTATGACTCAAATATGAATCAGGGGCATTTGAAGAATTTATTCATTACTATTTTCCTTTCTTATATTAATATTTCAGAGTTTTTTAATTGTTTTCTTTTAGTAACATTAAACAAACTGATTCAAATTATATAATTATAGTTAGCTTCAATTATTATGGTAAATTGTTAGACTAGAGATCTTTCATTAAAAGGCAATCTGTAGATCAACTGGTTGATTGCATTCAAACTTGCAGAATCAGACTATTTTGGGGTAAAGCTTAGAAAATACTACTTTTTAAACCTTTGTACGGAATTCAGATAAATGAATGAACAAAAATTAAATGAATGAATAAACAAAGGCATGCATGGACAAAGGAATGGAATCATGATTGCCAGCAGGAGTTAGCAACACTGCAGTTGTGACAGGCTTGAATCCCCTGACCCTCTAGTTTCTGTGTACTAAATGATTAGGTAAACATATATTTATTGTTGAAATTTCAGAAAAGTTTACTCTAGGAGCAAGGTAGTCACACACTGGGCCTGATAAGTTTTAAAGGATGTAAGTAAAAGGAAATGAATAAAAAGATGAAGTTGCAACTTCTAAAAGTCCATAGAGGTATTATATCCTAAGAATGACTTCAGACTGATTATATTGACAAGATGTAAAGAAACATATGCTTTGTTTATTCCATTAATTTTTCCTATTAAAATATCAAATATGAAATGGAATTCACTTACATAAAGTTACTGGCCATTGTTGGGTGACAAGAGATCTTAGATGGGCTTAAAGACCTCAAATAAATAATATTTAACTTCACTGACAATGAAGACAGGCAGTTACAATGTAGAGAGCAGGAAAATATAAACAAAGAACTGGAATTGAAGAGATCCATTGTATACCAGGGAAAATTGACCCATAAACAGTTAATTCTAAAGCATAATTTATTAATATTATTTGTTCTTTTACAGTTTTTGTTTTTGGTGCTGGGGATCGAACTCAGAACCTTGCACTTGTGAGGCAGGCGACGGAACCACTGAGCTAAATCCCCAGCCCATTATTTGTTCTTTTAAAAAGAAAGAATAAACAAAAAAGAAAAAATCTTTTGATTCTCTTTATAAAAAGGTCATTACAAAAGAAAGAACATTAGATTGGCATCAGATAGACATCTTGGCACTAATACACTATTCAAGATAACCATGGAATGGCCCTTTCAAGAGCTCCCATGTCTCACCCCTTCTAGCCCCAAGCAACCACCGCTCTACTTTCTCTACAGTATCAACATTTTGATATCTCATAAAAGTGACATCATACAATATATGTCCTTTTGTGAGTAGCTTATTTCACTTAGCATAATGTTCTCCTGGTTTACCCATACTGTGATATGTGTCAGAATTTCCTTGCTTTTTGAGACTGAATAAATTCCATTTTATGTATGTACCATGTTTTGTGTATCCCTTCATCAGTGGACATTTTTGTTACAGCTAATTTTGAACAGTGCTGCTATGAACATGTATGTTCAAGTATCTCTTCCAGGCTCTGCTTTCAATTCTTTTAGGTATATTTCCAAAAGTGTAATTGTTGTGTCACATTATTGTTCTATTTCTAATTTTTTGATATCTTATATATACTTTTATATAATCTCCTATTTGCTTTATTGTCCCCACATCTGGTGTACCTGAGTGCGAACATTCTCCAGTCCCCCTCCTGCCTCCCCTTCCCTCTCCCAATAAGTCATCTATTGTCTGGGGTATGTGCATGGTGCGGAAGGTAGCTGTCTGGATTTGTGGGATGGAAAGGGAATTTGAAGGCCCAAACACTGCCCTTAAACCCAATTCTCATCGCCATGACTGGCCCCCTCCTCTGCTCCCAGTGTGTACTTCTGGAAGCTCTAAGAAATTATGCCACAAAAACCAAGTTATTGAAAGGCAGTTAACTTAGTAGTCAATTTGCCTTTTGTATTAATTCTTTACTTTTAGTTACCATTTGTAGTTACCTTTATTATAAGAACATTTTAAGGCAAATTAAACTAGACACTGTTTCAGTTCCCTCACTGCTGCAGCTACTGGGAGGAGCCTGAGGAAAGAGAAAACAGAGGGACCCAAGAAGTCTACAGAATATCCATTTTTATTCCTAGGGAGGTGCACTGCAGTTATCAGAAATAAATTATCAAGTAGCTAGTTTGTTCTGGACAAGTCTCCAGGTCCCTGGGCTGAATATGCAAAACGAGGACCACAATTAGAATACACAGATTTTTAAGTGGGTTCAAGCATGCTCACGAACACTTAGCAAAACTGGTTACTAGCGTTAACACCAACCACCACGCATGCGTTCTTTTAAAGAACCGGCGTGCTCCCGCAGCCTCCCAGCAAGCCCTTTTCCTCAGATTGTCCCGCCCCAGTTTCCCGAGGTTGCGCCTCCCTGCGTAAGCCGAATCACCAATGACCACCCGTCTTTGCCTTACCGTCATCGGCGCGTGCCCAGCTGTAAATACCAGGGGGCGGGCTCCTGACTTTGCGCATGCGCATCTGTACCTCTTCTCCACGTTGGTTCCGAGTCCTCAGTCCCTCACCTCAACCTGGCTTTAGGTGTCTAGTGTCTGTGGGTGATTTGGCTGTCACCTAAGCCACGATGGGTAAGACTGCTGATTTTCTGGGTCCAGGAGCGCGGCCCGACCCGGTGCGGAGCTTCAATCGCTGGAAAAAAAAACACAGCCATAGGCAGAACCAAAAGAAGCAGTTGAGGAGACAGCTGAAGAAGCCCGAGTGGCAGGTCGAGCGCGAGGGTATCAGCCGTCTTGTGCAGAACTACGAGAAGGTGAGGCCTGTGCTGGGAAGGGGTACGGGCCACCCCCTCCCTTGGCGCGAGCAGGTGCCCCGGCAGCAGGGCAGCGAGTCACTGCGGGGATGGGCTGCGGGGGTTGCGACCCGGGGATCGTACAGTTAGTCCACTGGGCTGGGTGGCGTGGGAGTGTCACCAGGGTTCCTACTGACTCCTCACCGATGGTCTACTGGCTGCTGCCACCCAGGATTCCGAACTCTGCTGCTCACTGCACTGTTCTGGAAACAGTGATAGAAATGCAGTGGTACTGAAGGGTCCGGAGACTGCTACAATTTAGCAATATCCATACTAATGACAATCAAGGAAATAATAACTTGTGCAGTATTCTTCATCATGAACTCTTTGACTTGATATGAGGTATGGATCTTAATATTCCATTTTACAGGTGAAAAAAAATTGAGGCTAGGAGAGGATAAGAAACTTGTCCCAAACTCTCACACCTAGTAGATGGTGTGGAATTGAAACCTAGACCTGTGTGTCTTTCTAGTTCCAAAGTCTTTGCTTTTTATAAGCATCAAGCCAGACTGCCTCCCTCAACATCATCTTCTGCTCTGTCTCATTTTCTTCATTTACTTTATGTTCCCATCCAAGAATTGGTGTAGAAAAGCTGGGCTGCCGGTTTGTTTTTGTTACCTGTCATCCTCATGTTGTATCTAATGTTCCTAGATGTATATCCCTTTACTTGTCACTTTGACTTGCAGACCCATTTTCCTGTCAGGCTTTTTAGAAATGTCATTTCCTCTCCCCTTTCCCCATAAATCCCATATCTGTTGGCCTTCACCCACCCCACTCAGCCTCTCAGTTACTGCCCCCTTTATAGTATAGTACAGTCAGGGATTTAACAAGTGGGATATTCCTGTAATTAAAGTCATCAGCCATCCCAATATGGCCTTCTTTCCAGTGACTCTGAAGTCATTAGTAAGATTGTGTGCCACAGTGGACTGTTTATATCATTGAGAGCTCTAAAAAGTTTACCATCTTTGGCTTTTGCTTACTGTGTTACCTTCCTTTTTCCTGTCATTAAAGGGGATAATGGTAATGTCTACTGTGTAAGATGTTGTGGAGAGTTAGTAAGATAATGCATGGAAAGCATTCTGCACAATACCTGTTACATAGAAATATTTCATACATTAGCTGTTGCATTATTACAGCTGTTGTATACACAAGACTTTAACAAGCCATTATGAATTACTTTTGGGTTTTGTTTTGAACTGTCTCTAGAATTGTTTATTGAGTAGAGACTCAACCCTTGCTTGATTTATTTCTGTGAACTAATGATTCCTTGTATTCTATTCAGAGCTCTTCTGAGTTCATATCCTTATTTCTGACTTCATATCCTTATTTCTGACTGTACTGGATATCTTAATTGTATTATAGGATACCTTAAATGTCAGAAGTCATTATCTTTTCCATCATACCTCAGCAGTCCCTCCTAAATTCATAATCCTGTATATTAGTTTTCTATTGCCATTGTAACCATTGTCATAAACTTGGTGGGCTAAAACATTAGAAATTTATTCTTTCATAGTTCTGGAAGTCTGAAGTCTGAAATCAGTTTCAGTGAGCCAAAATGAGTGTCAGCAGGGCCATGCTCCCTCTAGAGGCTGTAGGGAATATTCTGTCTCTTGCCTCTTCTAGCTTCTTGTCACTTGATGCTCCTTGTTTTGTAGCTACATAACTCCAATCTCTGCCTCGTGGGCATGCTGCCTTCCGTTCTGTGTCAAGTCTCCCTCCACTTAAAAAAAAAAGAGAAAAGAACACATTTTGTTACATTTAGGGCCCATCTATATCGTCCAGAGTATCTCCCTCTTAGGTCACTTTTGCCATTTACAGGTTTTAGAGATTGGGGCATGGACATAATTGGAGACCATTTTTAACCTACCACATCCTGAGTCCACCATCTAACCAAACTACTGAGCTATAAACTGCAGGGCAAAATCTGCGGCACCTTTCTCTTACCTGCTTTTGTGTCCTGTTAAACTGGTGATCTTGTTTGCTGCTTAAATTTCTCAGTGCTTCTCCACCCCTACTTCTATAAGCTACTTCAGACCCTATCATCTTTTACTTGGATTACTACATTAGCTATTGCTAATAACAAGAGTCAGCAGACTTTCTATGTAAACAGTAGAAAATGTTTTCACCTCTATAGGTCAAAAAAAGTGGAACTACTCAATTCTGTCCCTGTAACACAGAAGCTGCCATAGAAGTACTTAAGTGAATGGGTACTGTGTTCTTGTAAAATTTTAATTAGTGAAACAAATGTTTGATGGGCTTTGACTCTTGGGTCTTATACACCTTGATTATATTTTCTTTTTTTTTGTACCGGGGATTGAACTTGGGACCTTGTGCTCGAGAGGCAGGTGGCAGAACCACTGAGCTAAATCCTAGCTTGATTGTATTTTCTATACTGCTGCTAAAAGTGTTTTTTAAGTATATGTGCTGCCGAAGTGCGCACTAAAAGTGTTTCTTTCCAGAGGGAAACCTTAGTCATTTTCCTTGGCTTACAGTTACTTTCAGGAAAACTTGCAAACACCTAAATGTGTCAACATACTGTGTTATAGAGGGAGAATATGTTATTTGTAGTTAGGCAGACCTAATCTCACTCAGTTTAGGTTCTCAACATCTCTAGTCTGTTTCCTCATCAGCAAACAATTACTAATGACGCTGAGAGGGTTGTAAGACTCACATGGGATGATGTATGTAAGCCAAGTGGTACATAATGACTTGTAGTTTGTGAATTGGCCATGTTCCTGGATGCTTCTTTTCCCGGTACTTGATGTTTCCACTAGATGTTAGCGCAGTCTGGGACACATATTTGGTCTTCACGTTTACCTGCAACTTGTCTTCATGACCTCCTCGGGTGTGCATCTGTAGCATTTTGTATGTATCCAGCTTTTATTATCTTCCTGTGATCATTGACTTTATTTCTTTGTAATTTCTTCTCCTATACCATGAATCTCTCAAGATTAGAGACCAGCATATGCTCCTTGATCTACGATGATGGGGTTATGCCTTGAAAACCCATTTTAAGTTGAAAATACTTTTAATAAAGTTAAACTATTGAATGTTATGGCTTAATATAATACAATATACTGTAGGGTATCCATTTTTTACCCTCATGATCTCAGGGCTGGCCAGGAGTTGTGGCTTTTTGCCACTTCTCAGCATCATACTGGGGGGAAGATTAAAAAAAAAAATCAAAATTTGAAGGAGTTGTGTGTAGTGGCACAGGCCTGTAATCTCAGTACTCAAGAGGCTGAGGTGGGAGGATTGCTGAGAGTTCGAGGCCAGCCTGGCTACATAGTGAGTTCAGTACCAATGTGAAGTACATAGGGAGAACCTGTCTCAAAAATCCCTCCCCCCAAAAAATTTGAAGTATGATTGCTACTGAATGTGCATCACATTCATAAAGTCATAAAAGTCAGTTGTACCATTGGTAAGTCAGTGGCCATTTCTACTCATTTTTGTTTTCTCTAAAGGCCGGTAACAAAGTGCTTGTTCTTGAGTAGATGCTCAGTGTTTAGATATTGTTTGGTATAAGACTAGACCTTTCCCAGATAGGTGGCTTTGCTTTAGTTAGAAGCATTGGCTCATTTATGGTCACTTGTTTTAATAATAATTGTTAACATTTATCAGATTTTTATGCATGTTGATGTGCCATGTCCTCACAACAACCACGGTTCCCATTACAAAGGTGAGGAAACCTTAAGGCGCAACAAGGTTAAATAACTAGTAAATGAGAAAGGGATTCTAACTCAAATAGTCTAGGTCTGATACCAAAGCTTCAAACCACTACATTTTACTTCATTGCACATGCAAATATTTAAATTTCAGTCTTTTCACAAAGTTAAAGGAATAGCTTACACCCGATAGTGGTTTTTTGTTGTTTTTTTTTTTTGGTACCGGGGATCTAACTCAGGACCTTGCGCTTGTGACTCAGGCGGTGGAACCACTGAGCTAAATCCTGGGCGCCCCCAATAGTGGTTTTTTTTTTTTTTTAATTTTAGGAAAAAATTTTTTTTAAGGATTTGGTCAGGAAAGAAATATAGTATAAAATCAGTTAATAGGGCTAGTGATACTAGGATACAATCATTCAAATAACAGATCTGTTATTTTCTAGGTAACCCAGTGCAGACCTTCAGTATTTGGTTCCTCAGCATTTGCAGAGCCATGGTACACAGGTTGTGTTCTGTACCCTCAGCTGGAGAAATGCTAAACAATTTAATTCAGAAACATTTGAAACAATTTGATGGATGCTTATTGAAGCCTATGTAAATACACATGGAAAAAATACATATCTAGGTTCCTAGGGAATTGAGGGAGGTGACATTTGACAAATGTTGTATAATATGTCTAAAATATTTAAGTAGGAAATTTGTAACTCAGTGTTGTGGAGTTAAAGGATGGGGTAGTGGTGAAAAGACTGAGTTATTCAGTGTGTCACTCCTTCTGGGTAGTTACATTAGGAAAAAGCATATTTTCTGTGAGCCCCCTATCTTTCTGCCTGGTGGTTGCAGCTGCAGGCCTGGCTTGGAGAACTGAATGGGAGCTGGGGTTCAGCCCCTACACCTAACTCTTGCCAAAGGCCTCTGTGCAGTGTACACTGTCCAGCAGTTTATGGTAGCTGTGAGAGGAGCTACTTCTTTAATGATGGCTTCACCGGATGGAAAAGATAGACAAGGACTTCCTAGGTGGAGGGAACAGCATGAAGAAATACAGAATGATGTGAAAATACATGGTGTTCTAGAGGCAGGATATAATACTTGGACTATTGCTTGCTTTCCTGAATTGGCTTCAGACCAGGTTGGAGAAGGTTGGAGGTGGATTGTGAATGACCATGGAGTCTACAGCAGGCAGAATAGTAGCTTCCTGCTACATATATCTGAAGGTGGTCTTGTCCTAATCCCCAGAACTTGTGACTGTGTTAAATGGAAAGGGTTAATTAAGACTGCTGACCAGTGGACCTTAAAGTAGGGTGATTATCCAGGTGTTGTCACCAGCACCTGTAACAGGGTGGCACAAGAGTCAGAGTCATGAGTTGTGCGAGTCTTGACTCCTGTCAGTTCCTTCAAAGATGGAAGGGTTGGCCAGGTCTGGTAGTGCAGTCTGTAGACCCAGCTACTCTGAAAGCTGAGGCTGGAGGATGGCTTGATCCCAGGAGTTTAAGGCTAGCTTGGAAATATAGTTAAGACCCTGGATTAAAAATGGAAGGCTGAGGGACAGCCTCTAGATGCTGGAAAAGGCAGGGAAATGGACTCCTGGAGAGTCATGGTAATTGTTAGACCCAGCGAGAAAGAACCAACCAGAGACCGATATTAAATCCACACAGGAGTTTATTACCGGCCAGGACCCGAGCTGAGCATCGGACTCGAGACCCGACTGGGGGGGAGACAAACATGTTTTATACACCTTTGAGGCCAACAGTTTCTAGGCCCCCCTATGGGATATAACTAGTAAAGCAAGCAAAAGGTACAGAAGCCGAACGTCCTGCTGTTAGAATAGTTGTAAAACAATAGTTGATTAATTGTTACTTCTAAAGGGACCTTTTAAGGGAAGGTTTCTAAGCTTCCTCCTTCTGAGTTCATCTAAAGGACAGGCAGGTGGGTCAAGCAGCAATATGGAGTCTGTCTTGCTAACTAGGGTCCTTCAGTAATAGGTTTTGGCTGGTTGCAGATCTGTTAACTGATGGGGGCCCATGGTGGCAAACCAATGGCATGTGTGCCACAGCAAACTGTTTGATATCATTGAAAGCCCTAAAAGGTTCACCATCACTGGATTAGGTTATAGACAATGAATTAAGTGAACTGGAACTAATTGACTGAATAGGTTGTAGCCCACTTGCTTCTGTTTTCCTATATAAACCATCTAATGGTGTTCATTAGAGTACTAAGAGTTGGTCTGGAAGTTGCCCCAATCATGAATCCTTTTTGCCATGTTCAAAAGAAACTATCACATTTAATGGTCTAAGAAATTTTCAACACTCATTAGAGAAATCACCTAGCCTATAGGAGTGGGGCTGCAGTAATACAGTATTTCCTCCTTATCTTTGGGGGATCATTCTAAGACTCCCCAGTTGATTGCTGAAACTGGATAGTACAGATCCTAAGAATACTGTTTTTCCTATATATACATAGTTTTGGTAAGGTTTAATTTACAAGTGAGAGCAACAACAACCCAGGCGTGGTGGTGCATGCCTGTAATCCCAGTACTCAGGAGGCTGAGGCAGAAGATTGCTGCAAGTTCAAGGCCAGCCAGCCTTAACTACATAGCAAGACCTTGTCTCCAAAAAGAGGGGTGTGTGTGCTGTGGATATAGCTTAGTGTGAAGGCTCTGGGTTCAATTCCCAGTACTGCCAAACAAATAATAATAAAAAATTATAACTATATTGTAATAAAAGTAATTAAAAATTTATGAATTGTTCCTGGAGTTCTCAGTGTATAATATTTTTTAGCTGTGAGAGTGAAACCATGGGTCAGGGAGGCCTTCTGCTGCCGAGCTCAGTCATAAACTGAGAGTAGTCCTGGCCAAGAAGGGCTTTTTCAGTGGTATATTAGAGAGAGGGATGGCAGCCAGTACTGTCAGTGAACTGTGCTTCCTGAAGCACGAAATCTGAGGGTTGTATATTTAAGGCCATCACAGGGGTGGTTGGGAAAACGCTAATGCAGAACTCAGATCAAGGCCTACTGTCAAATACTCAGTTATTTTAGTACAGCAACTATTTTTACTACTCCTAAATGAGTTGAACTCTTCACACCTAGGGTTTATTTAGGCTCTTACCATAATCAGCTGTGCTGTGTAGACACTTGCATTCTAATCTTTTATTTAAATCAAATTTGGTGTGGTGTGATTGGAGGCAGATTTCTTTTCTTGATTGCACTAGGTGGAACATTTTAGGGAGTTTTATTCTTTCTTACTCCAGGTATTATATACTTTTGTGAGAAATAGGTTTTGTCAGAGAGTAAAGAGAATGGCTTCTTTTCCCTCTCCTCCCTCCAGCTTTTCTAACAGAGTGGAAGACTTTTATAAGGAAGACCCCTAAATGAAATTCTTCTCTGAATTGAGAAGAATGAAACAGGCTTTAGCAGAGTGTGAGGATTGTGCTGATGGGAATGATTTTGTTATTAGAAAGGAAGAAAGGGGACCGGGAATTTTGCTCAGTGGTTCTGCTGCCCGCCTCGCAAGTGCAAGGTCCCGAGTTCAATCCCAGGTACCAAAAAAAAAAAAAAAGAAAAGAAAAAGGAAAGAGTGTTATTTTGTTTGTCAGAACTGTGGCCATATTCTGCTGTGACTTCGAGTATTCCTTGATATAACTAAGAATCTTTTAGAGAGGGATTGGGAGTCTTTTTCTGTGAAGGGTCAGATAGTCAATATTAGGCTTTGTGGGTTATACAGTCTGTCACAGCTACATAGCTAATGTGTAAAGACTGCCTGTAGCTGTGCTTCAGTAAGACTATTTAGAAAACCAGGCAACAAATTGGAATTGACTTGTAGGTTGACCTCTACATTAGCAGAATTAAAATTTCCATTTTTTTCTCTTGTGACCTCTTTGAAGATTATGGTGCCTAGCTGTATTGCAGTGGTTGACAGTGGAGTGCTGAAACACTTAACATTCTCAAGTTTCCCTCTAGAAAGTTAACAGACCTTTGAAAAATGTGTCATAGTTTGAGTAGTGCATTTTGCTTGTGTGGTATTGGGGGACAGAGATTTCAGAGCAGGTTGCCACCTGTCTCCCTCTGCCTGTAGGTATCCATTCCCTGTGAAAATGGTTTGTCAGCTTGTGTTGATTGCACAAGTGTGAGGGAGGAACATGTGTTACCTTAATATCCTGCTTGGAAGAGTATGTTTCAATTGAGGTTCTTTGCTGGGACAGCATGTTATTTGAATAAGCAATTCTTTAATGCTGATTCTACCTCCTCTCTAATATCTGTAGGGATTAAGACAACTTGTAGGGAGTAAGATATTTTCATATTTGTGTTTTCACAATTTGTAGGCAGAGTAGTCCTGCCTGGGCTAAATTAAGTATTGTGGAAAGATGATGTGTGGAATGTAAAATGAAATACAGCTGTCATCCCCTTATTGCCTAGAAAGTAATTTAAATGAACCTTACAATTGCAGCTTTCCCCTTTTGTGAGCATGAATAACTTGGCAGCATATTTCCAGATTGGTGCATTAGTTCCTGCATTCAGCATCTGTAGTAAAATAATTCTCCTGAGTATCTAAAATGAAATTCAGGAAATTGAGTTTATGCTAATGAAGAACAGCAGAAATGAATAGTAGAATAATGTAACATTATAGGGCAAAATGTTACTTATTGTGGCTTCAAAGCATGACCCAGACATTTCTGGTTATTTTGAAATAATACTCTTCCTTCATTATACCCCCAAATAAATATTAATAAGGTTCTGGATTTCATATGCCACTGACTATGGTTAAAACTTTGAGAGGTTTTTGCTGCAAGATACATTTCTTCAGCTAATTTCAATTTCTTCTCTAAGATGTATAAATAGAACTATTATCATGGTCAGTGGTTTGTAGTAATTTTGGCTCTTATTTCTTAAACTGATAGCCCTTGAAGGATGACAAAATGGATTTTCCTCCCGTAGGTGCTGTGGTGATGACTTACTGTTAATGTTTTCAATATGAAAGATATTAAAGGTAGTGTATAGTGTGTATGGTGTATATGTTGTATATGTTTTGAGTGAATTTTTTGACCAGTTGGGATGGTTATAAGTTTATATTTTTGACTCATGGCAACTTACTTGAAATACATTTCATTTCAGAAGGAATGATGGCTTTATTTAGAAGTGACGGTTGAATTGAATCCTACAGTATGAAGGATGTACTACACAGCCCAATGTAGAGAAAAAAAAGTCTTGCTGTAAAACCAATACATGATCCAGTGGATTATTTTGTCTTATCTGACATTGTTTTCTTTTATATCTTTTTTCCAGATAAATGTAAATGAAATTACAAGATTTTCAGATTTCCCCTTGTCTAAAAAAACACTGAAAGGTAGGTATATGGTAATTTTGGGACATGTTATTGGATTTACTGATTTTTTTTTTTCTGTAGGGGTGCATAGTTTGGAGAGAGGTTAACCCCCCAAAATCTTACTTTGGCAAATAATTTTGATATCATGAAAACCTATAAGAATACTGCAATTTGAGCTGGGTGTGGTGGCACACACCTGCCTCTCCAGAGGCTGATTTGGGAGGATTGGTACGAGTTCATTGCTAATTGGGGCTACATAGTGATTTCAAATCCAACCTGAATTATGTACTGAGAGCCTCTTTCAACAAAACAAAACAAAACACTTAAAAAAACTGCACTGTAACAAGTTGTCACTCCCATTCTTTCTGGACCGTTAAAGAACATTAAAAAGATCTTAGGAACCTCCAAATAATTAAACTGAAACCTAATTGTGTTCTTTGAAATAAACAAGAGAACAAACAAAAATGTATCACCCTTTATATTAGTTTTTTTAGGGCAACCATAGCAAAATACCTGGTTGGATGGCTTAAGCAACAGAAATGAATATTCTCATAGTTTAGAGACTAGAAATTCAATATGCTGGTAGGCTTGATTCCTTTCACAAACATAAGGGAGGATGTCTTCCAGTCCTCCCTCCTTGCCTTGGAAATGACCTCTTTCTTGCTTTTTTTTTTTTTTGCCAGAAAAATTGTTTGTTATACAGTGTACAACATGAGGTTTTGAAATATGTATACATTGTGGGATGTCTAAATCAAGCTAATTTTTATATATATATAGAAAAAAAAGTATTTGAGGCAATATATATATATATATATTGCCTCAAATACTTATTTTTTTCTTCCTGATAAGGACACTTAAAATCTGTTAGGAGTTTTCGAGTACACAATATATTATGCTTAGCTACAGACTTTGTGATATACAGTAGCTCTCTTATACTTATTCCACTTGTCTACCTGGAAATTTTGTGTCCTTTGAGCAACATCTTCCCAGTTTCCCCACCTCCCAGCCTGTGGTAACTGCCATTGTATTCTCTGCTTCTTTAAATTTGTTATTTTTAGCCTACATATATCTGGTACTTGTCTTCCTGCATGTCTTATTTCATTTAATACATGTACCCTCCAGGTTCATTCTTATTGTCACCGATGACAGGATTTCCTTTTATGATACTTACCTGTCTCACTCATTGCCTTTTCACATGCTTGTCCCTGTGTGCACATGTACCCTTGGGATCTCTTTTTTCAAATTTCTTCTAAAGATACCAGTCTTATGGATTAAGGTCTTCTTCTAGGGACTCAGTGTGACTTAATCACCTCATTAAAGGCTATCTCCAAACAAGCATATTCTGAAGTACTGGAGGTTAGGGCTTCAACATAGGAACTTTGAGGTTGGAGGACATATTGTTCAGCCTGTAACACCATCCTATAGGAATTTTCTGAAATATCAATCTTCCCTCCTCATTGCTAGGTTTGCAAGAAGCCCAGTACCGGTTGGTAACTGAGATACAGAAGCAGACCATTGGGTTGGCTTTGCAAGGTAAAGATGTACTTGGAGCTGCCAAAACCGGATCTGGAAAGACTTTGGCTTTCCTTGTTCCAGTAAGTACTTTTATATTGGGTCAGGTCCTCTATTATACAGTTTATAGCATTTTTTGCCTATATGGAAATAATGATGTGAAGGATTGTTTTCATGTTGGATTTCCTTGAGTTGAATGCACACGTTATCAGATAGCGGCCTCATTTGTCTTATCTCCTTACCATTTTCCCCAGTTCCTAGCATAGTACCTGCACATGACAGGCACTCCATAATGTATTGAATCAATTATTGTGCCTTAATAAGCCTGATAAGCCATCTTGTTCTTGCAGGATGCAGATAGTCCCAGTGTGACAGTTCCGTCCAGTTCTGCTCTGTAGTACAACAGGTGGGGAAAGTTGTTGCTGCTTTCTTGAAGCCTGCCAGTGGCATTAATACCTATTTGTTCAGGATAAAGCTGGAATGTGCTTCAAGATATTTGGGCATTTCTTGAGAATTTTACAGAACACTGATAGCTGTCTCAATAGAATAGTGGAGCTGAGGAATTTACTTACCTCTCAGTTATGTAGTTCATCTCCTAATTTGATTTGTACAAAACAAATCACTTGATACAAGTATTACAAAACCATTTTTCTTAAGTCTTAGTATTTTTTTCACAACGGTGTCCTTCTACAGTTAAAGAATTCAGTCACATATAACTACAGCAGCTGTACTGAGGAAAGTTACTTGTAGTGTAGTATCTGTTCAGAAAATGAGAATTACAAAAAAATTGTTTCAGTGGTCTGTGGGCCGCACATACTTTTTTGTGATAGCCAGTGTCCTTATAGCATGGCCCTGGGATCAGTTGAGCTGCCCCAGGCTTTTCCCACACTTTTGAAGTGGGAGGAGGAGTACTTCTGGTAGAAGAGAAAAAAACAGTCTCATAATAGATAAAACTTCTCTGTTTAGAAGGTGCCTTTGACTTGGAGGGGCAAGATTGAGACTTGGGTCAAAAACAAATTTTATAAGGAGTTACTGAACATGAATTTATTATCTTTAAGGTGTTGGAAGCTTTGTATCGTCTGCAGTGGACCTCAATGGATGGGCTGGGCGTTCTGATAATATCCCCTACAAGAGAACTGGCTTATCAGACTTTTGAAGTTCTCCGAAAAGTAGGAAAGAATCATGACTTTTCAGCTGGTCTTATCATTGGTGGAAAGGTTTGTGTCCTTTTGTCATTATCCTTTTTTTTTCTTCGATAACTTGTATTAGTGTACTGTGGCAGTTGGCAGGGAGGAAGTGGAGACTTCTGAATAGACTAGTCTCCTAGACAAAGCCTCATGAGGAGGCAGGTGTCACCTTGGTGTGGTTGTTTTCATCTAGAGTCTGTCAGTTATGTAGGTCCAGAAAGTCCATTTCTCAAGGTATTTTAATTGATGAGGCTGTAAGATAGATGTACAGGTTAATCTAGAGTAAATCTGTTTGTTAATTTACTTTGATAAAGAACACATTAAAGTATATGGACCAAGTACCTTTTAATAAGGTTTCTCAGAAGCTGAATAATTCAGAATATTGCTTTATCAGCAGCAGAAAAAAAGGTGATGGTTTTGAGGAATGTTGGCTTTAGGTCATGGTAAAACCTATTCAACTTTTGTTCTACCCTATAGTATATCTGAAATGCTTTTATCTGCCAGGGTCTCCTCTAGACTGTGAGGTTAAAGGTTTCTTGAATTTCTATGTGTACATATGCAAAAGAAGAAAAAACCACTGTCACAGACCTTATATACTCATGTGTCTGACTTGCAACTTTAGCAATTAACAACATTCTGGGGTTCTTGTTGAAAGGAGAGAACCTTTAAAACAGAGCTCAACTCTTTTTCCAGTCCACAAAGTGCAGGAAGAGGTGTGGGGGAGCCTGTTCAGTGCCTGTGGGTCCTGACTTAAAGAATAGAAGCAGTTCCTGTTTTTAAGTCAGTTCTAGCAGACTTAATAGGAAATCGAGTCTTGGAGCATTTGTTTGACAGGCTTTTTTTTTTTTGGCTTCAAAATCCTGGGTATGATTAAGACACTAAAAGAACTCTGAGCTCTTTAGGCCTTCACTAAGGTCTTTTATTTATCCCAGAAATGTGGACATGCTACAGAAATAGAAGGGAGAAATTATGTCCAAGAGCTTTTAGGATTTTATAGTTTAGAAAACAAGCTGCTTAGAAAGATATATATGTAATAAAAAAAATTACTTTTTTAGGATCTGAAACATGAAGCTGAGAGGATCAACAACATAAATATACTTGTTTGCACTCCTGGTCGGCTTCTTCAACACATGGATGAAACAATATGCTTTCATGCCACCAATCTCCAAATGTTAGGTGAGTTTTAAGATTTCAAATGAGAGAATGCTCATAGGAGAGAGCTCTCATTAGTTTAAATGATAGGAATGTTATATGGGATATATGTTAGGATTAAAAAAATTTGAGAAAGAACTTGTAATTTTTTGGCACTTGGGCTCTAAAACCAGATACTAAGTTTTTTTTTTTTTTAATTGAAAGAATATAGTGCTCTTGTATGAAATTAGGTACTTTAGTATTAGGCATTGCCAAAGATTTTCTCTTAATACCAACTTCTAGTGACTCACAAGAGCAAATTATAATGTTTTTAAATGACTTCTTTTTAGTGGGTGCTATTACATAATGTGTACTTTAATCAACTTCAAAAAATATACTTCTGAACTTACAGAAAAATTGCAGTGATGGCAAGAGTTCCTGCAGCCCTCTACCTAGTTTTAACATCTTAGCTTTTTCAAAAATAAACTTAATAGGACACACGTGTAAAAACCGAATAGTGTCTCTAGTGTGAGAAACTGAAAGTGTAAATAAAGACTAAAAGGTATAATAGATAATGTGAAATAGGAAGAAGAGGGGCAAAGGGGAAGGGGAATTGAGAGGGGTAGGGGAAAGGAAAGAAGAGAATGCAATTAATATGAGAAAATTAAAAAATGGAAACAAAGTCTTTGCAAATAGGGAGGGATGGAGAGGTTGAAGGGAGGGCAGGGGAATGGGGAAAAAATAAGGACCAAGATGGATTATGTAAAGGTGCAAATTTCTAATGATGAATGTCGTTATATTGTATACCTAAAATGTGCCAATAAAATTAATAAAAAATAAATAAATAAACTTAACTGGCCAGGGATTTAGCTCAGTGGCACCACACCTGCCTCACAAATGCAAGGTCCTGAGTTCGATCCCTGGTACCAAAAAAACCAAAAAACAAAAAAACCTTAATATTAGTTCTCTGTACAAATTAAACTACAAATTTTATTGAGATTTCATCAGTTTTTCTAGTAATGTCCTGTTTTAGAATCCGATCTAGGGTACTATAGCTTAATGTATATTTTAAGTGTTAATAGTTCAACTGGCATTTTCCTTTTCTAGTTCTTGATGAAGCAGACAGAATCTTGGATATGGGCTTTGCTGATACTATGAATGCTATTATTGAAAATATTCCCAAGAAACGTCAGACTTTACTTTTCTCAGCAACACAAACCAAATCTGTAAAGGACCTTGCACGCTTGAGTTTGAAAAACCCTGAGTATGTCTGGGTTCATGAAAAAGCAAAATACAGGTATGGACTCTGATTCAGTCAACACAGTCAAGCATTTTGTTTTTCTTCCCTGCTGGGGATTGAACCCAGGGTCTTATGCATGCTAGGCAAATGTTCTACCACTGAATTACAACACTAGCTTTTAATGCTCCTTTTTTTTTTGGTACCGGGGATCGAACTTGGGACCTTGTGCTTGCACAGCAGGTGGTGGAACCACTGAGCTAAATCCCCAGCCCTTTTAATGTTCTTTTAAGAATTTGATATTTTGAATTTCTATTTTCTAGGGAATAAAATTTTATTACGTATGCAAAACATAGTAAATGTAGCAGTTAGAATTATTCAAATTCTGGGTGTATCTTTTAATGTGAGAATAATGCAGCATTTCTCAAAATATGGTCTGGAGAACAAATAGTTTTCCATAACAGACATACCGTTTACCAACACTCCCCACCTCCACCTCCGGTAAATAAGAGGGGATGAGATTTTGGGCTGAGAGCTATTGTTAACTCAAAGTGAAAATTTTTTCTTAAATGACTTCTCAGCACTTTTAATGTTTTCATGGAGGTTGTAGCTCTTCAAAGCAGTGGAAGGTGGATATAATGTCCTGTATCTGCCACAATTACTTGGGTATAGGATCATTCTCTTGAGCAGTGTTGTGCAGCACTAATATACTATAGAAAACATTTTATCAAATGAACTAATATTTAACAAAATACCTTTTTTTTTTAAACCTATCTGTTTAAAAATGTCGCAGCCATTTTTTTTTTTTTTTTTGGGTCTTACTAAAAGAATAAAGGATGTGTGTTCATGTGACAGTAAAGTGTGTGATTGTGGTATGCATGTGGTTGGGGGAAAATGTTTTAAATTGCATTTTGATATGACAGCTACAAATACATGAATGGCTGGCATGTGTCACTGAACACTTTAGACAAATTGACTTCTTTAAATGTTTCTAGTGAATGTATGAACTTAAGTTGGATTCTGTATTGAAGGTTTCAAAATAGGTTCAACTTTATCATTGTTTATATCTTAAATTTTCACTTGTTCTCACAATGAAACATTAGCCTAAACGAGATAGATTTGGAAAATGAATTGGGTTTTTCTGTTTGGAAGTCTTTAAATACAGAAAATATATGTATTTTTGTCTACCCTGATCTGGGTGAATATATAAGATTAAAAAGAGCCTGAAAGTGGTCTCTGTGCTTCTAGGTGGTCCTAAATAGGTAAACTTTGGAGACTCTGAGTACTGGCCACTTCAGCTGGGAACTTGGGAGTGGCGCAGAGGAGAGACTTAAGGTGTAGTTTCTTCCTTGGCTCACTTTATTTTTTTTTTTTAATTTTTTAA